GGGACTCTGGCCTACCCCTTAGTTGTGACCTCCTGGTCAGCTTTATTGTCCAACAGGTTCTTTCCTTGGAGCTTATCAATGCCATCAAAAAGAGAAGACATCAGAGAGAGAGAGAGAGAGAGAGAGAGAGAGAGAGAGAAGAGAAGACATCATCCCAATTAATTCAAAACCCTCTTGACAATTTAAATGGGTCTGTTTCAGGCCACAGGCCTATCTGTGTGACCCAATCAGTGTAGCCCAAGAATAGGATGAATGTCCAGATTGACCAAACCTGAGTCGGATGCTTAAAAGCTACTGTTTACTCTTTTTGTTGATGTGATAAAATACAGACAAAGGCAACTTACGGGAGAAAGGGCTTATTTTGACCCACAGTGCAAGAGTTTTGTCCTTCAGGACAGGGAAGTCCAGGTGATAGGTGCTTGATGCAGCTGGTCACATTGAATCCACAGTCAGGAAGCAGAGAGAAATGAATGCTGGTGCTCAGCCCACTTTCTCCTTTTTATGCAGTCCAGGACCCAAGCCCAGGGAGTGGTGCCACCCACTTATAGGGTGTGTCTATCCACCTCAATTAACTGAATCTTGTCTCCTAGGTGAGTCTAGTTCCTGTCAAGTTGACAATTGGTATTAATCATCACAGCTGTATGTCCTGGCATAAAAAATAATCGACAGAAATAAGGGATGAAAGGATCATTTTGGATCATGGTTTTGGAGACTTCTGAACATCAAAGCAGGGATGGCAGGGCAGTGTGTAGTGTCAGCACCTCACATGGCCATGGACCAGGACTCTGCTGTAGGAACTAGGGTCAGGCTATTAACCTTCAAAGGCCCATGCCTAGTGACCTACTTCTGCCCTCCAAGTCCCACTTCCTAAAGGCTCCACAGCCTTCAAAATTGCTCCAAGAGCTGGGGACCCTGTGGGAAACATTTCCCATTCAAATCATACCAGACCCCTGGGACTTAGGGTAACCCTCTAAAAGAAAGTTGGGAACTCTTTCCAGAATTGAGAGAACCAGATGCTACAATAAAAACAGTAGCTGTCCAGTAAGGAGAAAAAGGCTCCACCTGCAGCTAGAAGAGCAGAAAGCAAGAGTGTGTCCATTTCCCATGTCAGAAAGGAAGAGGAAATTAGAGACGTGAACCGGTGCTGGAAGAACACTGTACAGTTTCAGAAGCTTGGGTGCCATCTTGGCCTTGTCATTTCCGGTTGAGGTCAACAGACAGGCAGGAAGCAGGAAAAGCTGAGTTAATCAAGTCCCAGTTTACAAGCAGGCTTGGAAAGAGGAGCTTCTCCTGAGAGACTACACAGTTAAAAGAAGGCTGAGATCTTGCAAGGAAAGGTGGCTAGGTACAGGCCTGAGGCTGAGGCTGGTGGGTTTTCTAGTATAACTGACCAACTCTGACTTTCATCTCTAAAACCATCCTTTCTCAGCCTTGGCACCACTGACTTATTGGTAGAAATTGCTATTCACATTGTGGGCCTGGTCTCTAACAGATGCCAAGTGTGGCCCCCTGCCCAGGAGTGACATCCAAAATGGCCCCTGCAAGAGAACCAGTAGTCGAAGAGCACACAGGTGGATGTCAGGGGAGGGGCAGTGATTAAGATTCCAGAAGCATCTTTCCTCATCATCTCCTCACTTCCAGTTTACCTCTTTATAAATTAAAGAGATTGCCTGGGGGTGTTTGCTGAGAATCGCCGAAAACTTTCTTAATGGGGTTTGCCTGGTGATATGGAAAAGAAACCCATTCCAGGGACGCTGAAGTGTCCTGGACCAATGGCAGCTTTTTTCTGTCTCATCCCATTATTAAATTGTAGTTTGTAGCATGTTTCTCAGTCCAATAAGCAGTTCTGTGTAGAATAATGTCTCTCTAAAGGGCAGCACGTGGCCATCCCTCACCCCAGGTGTGCAACCTGAATTATGTCAATGCACAGCTGTTGTTATTTTGTGTGCGTGTGTGCACATGCCATAATGCACATATGGAGGTCAGAGAACAACTTGCAGGAGTCAGTTCTCTCCTTTCACCATGTGGGTTCCGAGGGGGGGAGGTCAAACAGGTTGTCATGCTTGGTGGCCAGTGCCATTACCCACTGAGCCATCCCACTGGCCCCCAATGCAGTTTTGAAATATCAAGAGAGAAGTATTTTAATGCGTTGAATTTTAAGTAGGTTGGTATATAGAACACAGTGAGTTGGCTAAGTAAATGACTACACAGGGTGTCCCTGGACAGAGCCAAGTAGCCACGGTAGCACTATAATGACTGGACTGCAAGCTGATGGTCAATATCTGGGATGCATCCCACCCCCAAATTTACCTGCACAGGATACTTCAGTTTTGTTTAAGGAGCCCCTCTTGCCAAGTGCCTTGTTCCCTGCTTGTGTTCTCTCTGCAGACATAGCAGACCACCCCATACCACCAGCCACCTTCTGTAACATCAATAACATATGCAGTCGATGGCCTCACGGCCAAGGCAGGATCCGAAACACTCATGGGATCTCCATGCAGGAATGGAGGAGAGAGAGGTGGTCAATACTGCATTTACTTAACAGAAGCCCCAGGGGATGCCTGGCCCTGGGCTGTGGGGAGAGTGGCTGGTTACCAGCCCCCGAATAGGTGGATTTAAGACCAAAGACCAGCCTAACGTGACTGGAAATGAGCATGGAGCACAGCTGTGCGGGCTGTGACTTCTTGAAGGTCAGGCCCCTTTCTAAATCAAGGAGCTAGTGTTGGAGGGATAAAGGACAGTCCAGATACAAAAGTCTCTCATTCCCTGGGGATTTACTAAGTACCTGTTTTGTGCCAGGAACTGTATACTAATGCTGGACTCCACCAGTGAGGAGTCCCTCCTTAGCCAGGGGATTTTGTGCCCCTCACCCAGAAACATTTGGCAATACCTAGAGACATCTTGGTTGGGTTGTCACAGCCGGGGAAGGTGTCACGCCACTGGCATCTACTGCACAGAAGCAGGGATGATGGGAAACATCCTACAGCACACAGGGCAGCCCAAGGACAAAGAAGGAGCTGGCCCAAATGCCAGATGTGCCAAGGCTGAGAAAGCTAGGCCTACTGATGAGCAAGAGGCATCAGCCCTGTCCTGCCACATCTCACAGTAGGCAGAGGCAGGAAGGAAGGACGGGAGAAAGTGAAGGGGAAACAAAGGGAAGAAAGAAACAAAGTAAGCAGGCAGGAAACAGCAGACTTGATTAGTACTACAGCCACAAGATCCTGCTTGAGGAATTGGCACTGTGACCTTGGCCAAGGTCTGAGTTGGTGGCATTGGAGCAGAGCCTGGGGTGGGGTGGGGGTGGGGGGGCAGTTCTGTGTGTGGCTGGGCCAGGTGGCACAGGCCTGCAATCCTGTTGCTCAAGAGGCTGAGGCAGGAGGATCACAAGTTCACAAGTTCAAGGCCAGCCTGGGTAAGGTAGCACAACCCTAGCTCCAAATTAAAAAAAAAAAAAAAAGTAAAATAAAGGGGCTGGGGATGAAGGCCAGCAATCCAGCAGTTGGCTAGTATACACAAGGTACCAAGTTCACACTGCAAAAACCAGAAACAAGAAGATAAAAGAAAGGAGGTATGTCCCACCAGAGGTAGCAAGGGAAGAGATCTAGGTTAGGGCTGGATTAAGACTGTCACTGAGGACTGAGGAGATGGCTCATCAGTTAAGAGCGCTGACTGTTCTTCCAGAGGACCCGGGTTCGGTTCCCAGCACCCGCATGGTGGGCTAACAAGCATCCACAACTCCATTCCAGGAGATCAGACACCATCTTCTGGCCTTTGTGGGCACTGCATGCACATGGTACATCTACATACATGCAGGCAGAATGGTCATACACAGAAATAAGTAATTCTTTTAAAAAGATTGTCACTGAGGTTGCTGAACAGAGTCTAGGGCACATGGGGGAGAGCGAGTGTGGCAGCAGACAGCATCTTGCAGGCTTCCAGGGCAGTCCCAACAGGTAGGTTGAAGAGGGTGGAGCTTCAAGAGGTCTTTGGAGGAGGAAGATGGGATGTATGTAGGAGAGAGAACTTAGAAAAACTCCTTTTGGAAATACAGGTACATCTGCAGGGATTCCAGGATCCCCATAGATACCAACAGCACTGGTACCAACATCCAGCTGCTGCTCAAGGCCCTTCTAGGAAATGGCACAATATTTGCATACAACCTCTGTCTGTCCCCCTGTAGGCTTTAAAGTATCCCTAGGTTGTTTACAATACCTAATACAGTGTGAGTGCTTCAAAAGTCCTTGTTCTGCTGTGTTGTTTAAATAATAATAAGAAAAAAGTTTGCACGTGTTCATTCCACACAGACAGAAACATTCTTGGGTATTCACCAGAGTTTGGTTGAAACCATGAGTGGAGAAACGTTAGACGGGACCACTGAATGCAGGACATTGGAAATGCTGGGAGACTTCTGCTTCTGCTCAGAGGGGTTGCCTCCTTCCTGGGGTGGGTTGTGTGATATGGGGCAAGTGTCACAGCCTGAACATCTTGTTTTGTCACCTGAAAATGGAGGGCACAATAGGATCTGCTGCCTCACAGGGCATTACAAGGACTGGCTGAGTCGTTTTTGGTCTAGGGAGAGTGGTCCGTAAAATGCTCCCCATTCGTGGTCAGAGATTAAAGGGGTCAAGGGGAATACATACTGCTATTGCAGCACAGCACCTGGATGGTGGCTGTCCCTTTAAATTTTCTTTCATTCCCTTATTTTGGAAGAGGTCATATTTAAAGACTACAACTGGGTGGGTGGAAAAAGTGAGTCTCCTACCCACTGGTCCTCCAGCCACTACTGATGGTGGCTCATGGTTACTGCTCTGGGTGTGGGTGGGTAGCAAAGTGCCTGGGTGAAGGGCTGTTATGCCTGCAGAGAGTCAGTGCCATATATGCTGTGCCTGAGGGAGCCAGGTGGGCTAGCAGGTCTGAAAAGAGGCAGGTCCTCAGGAGGTCAGGAGAGAGGGAGCCTTACCGTGGACTGACCTCTCTCCCTAACTGTCCCTTTTTTCTAGAATGTTCCTGGTGCCACAGAGAAAGATGAGAACCCACCAAGTGCTCCCCTTCCTCCTCCTCTTGGTGATTGCCTCGGTGGCTTCCGAGAACGCCAGTACATCCCGAGGCTGTGGGTTGGACCTCCTCCCTCAGTACGTGTCCCTGTGCGACCTGGACGCCATCTGGGGCATCGTGGTGGAGGCGGTGGCCGGGGCAGGCGCCCTGATCACGCTACTCCTCATGCTCATCCTCCTGGTGAGGCTGCCCTTCATCAAGGACAAGGAGAAGAGGAGGCCTGTGTGCCTCCACTTCCTCTTCCTGCTAGGGACCCTGGGCCTCTTTGGGCTGACGTTCGCCTTCATCATCCGGATGGATGAGACCATCTGCTCTATCCGCCGCTTCCTCTGGGGTGTCCTCTTTGCACTCTGCTTCTCTTGCCTCCTGAGCCAGGCGTGGAGGGTGCGGAGGCTGGTGCGCCAGGGCACGAGCCCAGCGGGCTGGCAGCTGGTGGGCCTGGCGTTGTGCCTGATGCTGGTGCAGGTCATCATTGCCACCGAATGGCTAGTGCTGACAGTGCTGCGTGACACCAAGCCAGCCTGCGCCTATGAGCCCATGGACTTCGTGATGGCCCTCATCTACGACATGGTGCTGCTGGTCATCACCCTGGCCCAGTCTCTCTTCACACTGTGCGGCAAGTTCAAGCGGTGGAAGGTGAACGGAGCCTTCATCCTCATCACCACGTTCCTCTCTGTGCTCATCTGGGTGGTCTGGATGACTATGTACCTCTTCGCCAACTCGGTGATGCATCAGGGAGATGCCTGGAGCGACCCCACCTTGGCCATCACGCTGGTGGCCAGCGGCTGGGTCTTCATCATCTTCCACGCCATTCCGGAGATCCACTGCACCCTTCTCCCACCCCTGCAGGAGAATCCGCCCAACTACTTTGACACATCGCAGACCAGGATGCGGGAGACAGCATTCGAGGAGGACATGCACCTGCCCCGGGCCTATATGGAGAACAAGGCCTTCTCAATGGATGAGCACAACGCAGGTAACTGTAGCCACTGCCTGGCTTCGGGGAGTCACTGAGAGGCCTCTCCTGCAGGGGCAGAGGCTCCCAGGCCTGGGGAGATCTGGTAGCACAGGTGCAAAGACCAAGTTGAATCTCCCATAATGGCAGCACACACATAGTCCCAGCTGGGGAGGCAGAGATAGGCAGATCCCAAGGGCTCCCTGGCCAGCTAGCCTAGCCTCATCAGCCAGCCCCAGGCCCTAGTGAGAGACCCTTTTTTTTTTTTTTAATATTTTTATTTACCATTTTTATTTTTTATATGTGTGAGTGTATTTCCTGCATGTACGTGAGTGCACCCGTGTCGTGCAATGCTGAGGAGGTCAGTAGAGGGCTTCGGATTCCCCTGGAACTGGAGTTAAGGACGGTTTGTAGCTGTCACGTGGGTGCTGGGAATCAAACCCTGGTCCTCTGCAAGAGCAGTCAGTGCTCTTAAGCACTAAGCCATCTCTTTAGCCCTGAGAGACCCTATCTTAAAAAGAAATAATACGTAATCCCAGCACTGGCAGGGCATTGATGATCGCCTGGTGCAGCCACATGTTGAACACTAACTCTTCTGTCTTGAGACTGCATTATCTTATCCTCAACATCAGCTGATGGGGTCAGCTCCACTACTATCCCCATCTGTGTGATGAATGAACAAGCTGAGGTTCTAAAAAGCAAAGTGGCTTTTCTTGAGGACATACAATCTGGCTAATGACAGATTGAGCTGAAATGAGCCTCTTTTTTTTTTTTAAACTTCAGGGCTTTATCGTACAACAGGAAGGGCCATGCTTGTGCCTGCCCAGTCCCAAACTTAGGCTCCTGGTAAACCTCTTTATGATCTCCATATTATGGGCTTTTAAAGACACTATACCCAGGAAAACTCATTTCTTCCTTTAAACACAGACAACATTATTTACATAATTCATTTTATGCCGATGGTAAAAATTATACTGGAATTTATCACTAAACTAACTTTATTTGTTCCCTTCTTAAATATCTACTAAATTATGTCTTCACCGTCCCAGTGACTTCTTGTTCTTGATTTCTTGGTGTATGCGATGTCTGTGTCCTCCTGTGAATTTTCTGCCCCTTTCTTGGTGTATGCGATGTCTGTGTCCTCCTGTGAATTTTCTGCCCCTTTCTTGGTGTATGCGATGTCTGTGTCCTCCTGTGAATTTTCTGCCCCTTTCTTGGCACCCCAAGTTGCTCTCAGCTTAGCTTCCGTGTCCAAAGTGGCTCCAGTCTCTCTAGACTTCAAACTCCTAACCCCTGAATTTCCACAGACTCTTTCCCTTCTGAGCCTTCGTTCTTCTGGATTTCTCCACTTTTCTCACTTGTGATCTCCCCTGCTGCATGAGCCTGGGAGATTGCACTCTGTCCTTCAGGCCTCAGGCCTGTTCTTTCCCTGTCAACTTTGGCCCTAGATGCAGGCTGCTGCTTTTTTTTTTTTTTTTTTTTTTTTTTTTTTTGCTTTTTGAGACAGGTTCTTCCTGTAGCTCCAGTTGACCCGGAACTCACTATGTAGACCAGGCTGGTCTCGAACTCACAGAGATCCGCCTGCCTCTGCCTCCCAAGTGCTAGGATCAAAGGTGTGTGCCACCACGCCCGGCCTGAGATGCAGACTTATTGATGCCATTGTCTGGGTTCTACAGCTCCATCTCCTGGGAGTTGTTTCTGGTCTTCTCATTTCTTTTGATCTTAGCCTCAGGTCTTTGCTGGTCTTCACCAGTTTCCTTTGGTAACTGGAGCTCAGGAGCACTCTCTGATTTGGAGTGACTGCATCTTCTACTTCAGGTTCGTTCCTTTTCTTTAGATAGCTCATCTGCTCTTCAACGTGTTCAGTCCGTCTGTGACCACTGTCAGTGTTTCATCTTTGGGGGCTCTGCCGCAGGGTCTATAGTAAGACTTCCACAGGGCTCTCCTCAGGGGCCCTCAGCACTCTTCTGCACCTTCTCGAAGGTTTTACTGGCTCTGGCATTTGCCTTGGAGAACTCTTAAGGCTCCTAGTGCTATTTCTCAGTTGCTCAGTGTGATCTGAGGTTTGGATTATTTCTTTGGGAAATGAGCCTCTCTTTAGCAACATCTACCCAGGTAGCTGGTACAAGGGTCAGCCAAGGTCAGGAGCCAGTCACTCATGCAACCAGCCTTGTGGGGTTGACTGCTGAGGCCTAAGGCACAGTCGGCTCATCCCCTGCAAACAGGGAAGCACTGAGCCCTCACATTCTACACCCCCTGCCACACCCAGATGTTGCCAGTTTCTACTTCACCCTGGCCAGATCCATACATAGGAGGGGTGCCAGTGGCCCCTCTCTAGACAGAGCAGAAAATCTCAGTGTGGCCCTAATCCAAGTTTTTCTCTTCTTACCACAAAGTTCCAGGCCAGAAGCCTGTGTCTGTGGGAGATGTTGACAGGAATACAGTGTTAGCCAAGCTGTAGGACAGAAGATGCAGGTCAGGGTAGAGGTCACCCTTAGGAGTTCAAGGACTGTGGTGAGAGGGGCGTGAGTCTGGCCAGTCCTGGGGTCCTAGCAGAGCTATCTCTCCTGGCTGGTTCTTCCTGGAGAGGCTCCTCTGAGACCCTGGGCTCTCTGTGGGCCTTGAAGGTAGAGGAAACAGAAGTGGATGCAAATTGGCATACATTCATGTTCCTGGAGAATTAGCAGATTCTCAAAGTACCTGTGACTCCCAGAGGGGTGAGCACCAGAGGCTGAGTGAGATGGTTTGATTTCCTTGCAGTAATACTGGGAGGTCAAAAGCATCTAAACAGTAGGGTCTTTCAGAGTAAAGATAGCTAGCCAGGTGGTGCATGCCTAGCACTCAGATAGTAGAGGCATGAGCGTGAGCTCAAAGCCAGCTTGGACTACATAGCAAGAGCCCCTCTCCCAAAACCAACCAAACAAACAAAAGAAACCACAAACTACAACAAAAAAATCATAAAGCTAACTAACCTTTTTTTGAGCCCAACGTTACCATATGGCCAGGTGCCATTCTGAGCATTTTACTGGCTACTCTCATTTAATACATACAATATCTTATGAGGTCTGTTTGGAAACTGATGTGCCAAGAGGCTACATGATACCCTGTCTCTAAAACAAAAACAAAACAGCATTAAGGCAGAGTGGTCCATAACCTGGGTACACCTTATACTCAACCTAGGCTATTACTTAGGAAATTGACCAATACCTGCCCTGTGTCCCCCACGCTCTATTGAAGTCTGAGTCTGGGATAGTGTAATTGTGATCCAGAGGTGGCACTGGGTTGAAACCACTGGCACAAGTGCTGTCCTGCCATGTGCTAAAGTCAGTGTGATGGAGCCTTTCCAAGGTCAGAAGCTGCCCAGCTACCATCTCCACAGGATGCTGTGGGGTTTTCCACTGAGCACCAGTATTTCTTTTTCGAATTCTCTGGCCTGCCTGCCTCCCACTTCCCATGATAGACCACGCTGCAGTGAGCATGCTTATCCATTCATCTTTCTGCTTCAGTCCACTAGCTCCTTGTAAAAGATGCTCTAGATATGGGTTAAAGAATCTGCATGTTAAATCTTGATACATTATGCCAGATAGCATCCCAGAAAGGCAGACTGATTCAGTGTTCCCCGTGCCCCACAACACAATTGAAAGTCCTTCTCTACCCCTTCAGCAATGCTGAGTGTTGTCAGGCTTTTTATTTTTTTTAAGACAAGCTGTTCTTTTTGTTTGTTTCCTTGGGGGTGGAACCCAGGGCCTCATGAATGCTAGAGAAGTGCTCTACACTGAGCCGCATCCCCAGCAACCCATAGACTTTTTTGTTTGGTTTTTAGGGGGTTGTTTTTTAATATTTTTTTTATTATCCCTCCTTTAAGCAATCTTAAATATGTATCCACCAAAATCCACTTGAGACCTGGCAAGGCCAGCCTGGACAAAGCTCACACAGAGAAGCTATGTTGGAGTCCTGGCTGTGCTGGCCTTTATTCTAGAAACCCTTGTTTTGCTGGCTAGGGACCATCTGGGCATTTTTCTTTGCTGGCACCTTCCTGGCTGAGTTTAGCCAGTCTGTATTTTAGGAACTGGGCCCCATGAGGGGCCTTATCTGTGGAGGATCTAGTGTTCATGAGCTGTGGTAACCATGTTTTCTTGCATTGGAAGCTTCTAGTCAGTCTGTCAGACTATCCCTTTGACCTCAGTCCCTGAGGGCCATAAGATGGGAGCTTTCTCCAGGTTGTGTTGTGACTCTGTGAAGCCCTGGCAGCTGCACCCCCCTATTTCTTTCCCTCAATGAAACCCCACATAGATATATCTTAACCAGCCTGTGCTCATTAGTATCCACAAGGCATGAGGTAAGCACCAAGAGATAAAAATAACAGGGATGTAGCACCTCAGATCACATCTTAGAAAGTGCTAACAAGAGCTTTGAAACATTCACCTTTCAAGGGACAAAAGAACTTCTCTTTTGTTATACCCCCTGGGGGGGCGGACTCCTGGAGGTAGCTCTAGGGGAAGGCATGACTAACCTGGCTTCACTTCCAGGGCCTAGCATCTGACCAATGAGCTTTGATTCCTCTGGGTATGCACTTAAGATGAGCCCTGCTTGTCCTTTGGCTCTAGGATGGATAGGGTGCTAGTTGGGGGCCTCTTGAAATTGGTTACTTGTCACTTAAAAATAAAATTTGAATAAAATCTGAATGCATAATTATTCAAGCAAACAGGGGAAACTCCAAATGCCCTGGGCAACAGGCTTCAGGAAGGGCTGAATTCAATGGACTCAAATGATGACTAGACCTGGCCTTTACCCACTCTTGGCTGTTGGCATCATGGCAGCCTATAGCTGTAAGGGCTTGACTGGGCCTAGGGGGAGGGGGAGCACTTTCCTAGAAGCTTGAGCAAAAATTCTAGGATTAGCTCTGATTGGGCCTGAATGTCTTTTCCTGAACCAATCAGTGTGTCTTCGGAGATGGAATGCCCTGATAGGCCAGGACTGTCTCAAGCTGGACCCCCTGAGGCCCATGTGGAGGGACCTAGAATGCCAAAGGATATGCTTCAGAAAACCACAAATAGCCGCTACAGAGAGGAGGAGAGAGTGGAGCTTCTGTTTCTGTGGGGAGGAGGCATTTAGAAGCAGAGTCCACATTGCAAGGAAATCCACTGGCGTCCTTCCCTCCCAAAGAGTAGGTCTCTGCGAGGAACTCACTCTGGCAAGACCCCATGTTGGACTGTCCCCTTCTCCTATGTGCTCCCCAGGGAGGGCCGCACCTTGCTCAGCATAATCAACTGCTTAAGCCTTGGAGATGCCCAAGCAGAAAGTTTCCAGAATATGAGTCTCCCACCCTAACTCCATTTCTTTAGTCCAGTCCGGTCTGAGCCACTTAGGTTGCTTCTGAGTGCCCAAGTGTGATGGTTTAAAAGCATAGTATCAGCCAGGCGTGGTGGTGCTCGCCTTTAGTCCCAAGCACTCGGGAGGCAGAGGCAGGTGGATCTCTGTAAGTTCAAAGCCAGCCTGGTCTATATAGTGAGTTCCAGACCAGCTGGGACTACAGGGACACCCTGTCTCAAAAAGACAAAATAATTAATAATAAATAAATAAATAAATAAAAGCATCGTATCTGGAGGCCTGGATAGATGTCTCAGTTGGTAAAGTGCTTGTTGTGGAAGTGTAAAGACTTGAATGTGATCCCCAAAAGCAATATAAAAAAGCTAGGTGAGGTGTGGCACTTGTAACCCCAGCTCAGGAGGATCCCTGGGACTCCCTGGTTAGCTGGCCTAGCCTACTTGGTGAGTCCCAGGTCAGTGAGACAGTGTCTCAAAAACACAAGGTGGGGGATTAGAAATAAGACTCAGTGGTTAAAAGCACTTGCTGCTCTTCCAGAGGACCCAGGTTCAATTTCCAGCACAATTTTCCATATCTGGTGGTTCACAACCACCTGTAACTTGGGGGATCCAAAACCCTCCTCTAGCTTCCGTGGGCACTGGCTTACAAATGACATACACAAATACACAGGCACACAATGTTTTTAAAAAGTGGATGACATCCTCTTATCAAAGAAGACCTGACAGTCCAGAGGCAGTGGCAGCTTGGGGAGGGGAGGGTCAATGTTTAACCTACGGCTGGCCATCTCCAGCTGAGAAGAGGACTCCACAGCATTCCCAACCCTACAGAGCTGGGTCAGGCTCCTAGAGGACTTGAGAACAAAGCCCCTTTGTGACTTTTGTTTTGAATCAGGCTTGTGACAAAGAGGAGGAGCCACTGGTGGGCGGAGGGGGAGGGGGGCTGCCCAGAGGAGAGGAGCCAGTTGTGGCTGGGAAAGAAAACAAAATCAATCATCAATCAGCTCTCTCTCTCTCTCTCTCTCTCTCTCTCTCTGCCTCACCCCCCGCCCCGTGTCTCTCTGTCTCTGCCTCTTCCCCCCCCAACCCCTCTGTTGGTCTCTCCCTCCCTCCTCAGCCCTTCGATCAGCAGCGGGGTTTTCCAACGGCAGCTTGGGGAAAAGAGCTAGTGGCAGCTTGGGGAAGAAACCCAGCAGCAGCTTGGGAGGCAGCAGACCCAGCGCTCCATTCCGAAGCAACGTGTATCAGCCCACTGAGATGGCTGTTGTGCTCAATGGTGGGACCGTAAGTATTAAAATGTAATGTCAGGGCAGGAGGCTGCAGAGCATCTGGTGTAGGGGACAGCTTCAGCCAGGCACTCCTCCGGAGGCTGCTTCCTTGGGCTGCCCACTGCAGTCCCAGGCCACACTCCTGCAGCCCCATGCATGCACACCTTCCATCTTTGTCAGACCCTTCTATCCCCTTTCTCCACGCAAGGAAAATCCCCCATACTCAAAAAGCCACCTGTAGATACCTGCCTATTGCTTGGCTCTCTGTACTGGGTGAATTCTTGCCTTTCTTGAACACAAAGCCCCAGCCCTCTATAACCAGGAGATGACTCCAAGGAAAACCCTCCAGTGAGGAAAGCTCCCAAGCTTTGCTGATATCCAGCAAGTCCCCTGATCCCTACTCCATCCTGCGCCCCAATAGGCTCCCAGGTTCCCCAACCACAACTCCCTGAGAGGTCCTAAGCAATGGAAATTGTGTCCCTTAAACACCAAAGCAGGCTTATTTATCTGTCGCCAAACAGACCTGCAGCAGACATTGTCACCTTTTACATTTTGCCTCCGTTGGAATGACATCATTCTGTCTCAGCAAAATCCAAAGAGGCTCTCATTCCCATGTTTAATTTCCAGACATAGCTCCGTGCTTCTCTCAGAAACAACGCATGAGCTGGCTCACACGTGCACATTTGATTTCCATTCTTTATTTTGTGCCAATTCCATAACTCAACCTGAGCTTTTTTTCTTTTTTTAATGGACCATCAGGGATGGTCTTTGATCCCTGGAGGGAACTCTGGTTTTTCTGGCCTTTGAAGGCTCTGCTATGTGGTTCCCATTGCTTTGGAACAGGCTGAAGGACAAACAGAATCACAGATTTGCATTCATAAAACCCCCACCATCCCCTGGACTGTTTCTTTGTCCCAGGGCCCAGAAAACCTGACTCACAAGTGATCCTTGGCCATTGGAGGGCCTGGCCTGTGTGCTGTAATAAACAGACTTAGAAAAGGCCCGTCCATCATTCTTAAGTCCCCTGGCTCCTTCAAGGCCAATGCAGCTATGACAGACTAAAGAAGTGAACGGCAGCAGTAGAGCCCAGCGGTAGGCAGAGCACTTACTTGCCTAGCATGCCCAAGGCCGAGAGTTCCAGCCTCAGCACTTTTAAAAGTATTTTAAACAGTAGAAAATGGATCAGTTTAAGGGAGAAGAAACAAGCCTCTTGGGTGGGTGATCACAGCATTTCTGGGTACTGGCTCAGCCCGCCTAGGTCAAAGCAAGGGAAAGGAAAGGCAGTTCTCAGGTGACCTTGCAGAGCAGACTTCTCAGTACTGTCCTTGTGTGTTCCAGATCCCAACTGCTCCGCCACCTCACGCGGGAAGACACCATTGGTGAAAGACTTTTAAGTTCCAGAGAATAAGAATCTCTTACCGATTTTATTCCCTGGCCATGTCTTTCTTGAGGGAGAAATCAGTAACTGTAGCCGAAACAGGCCGCCTGGAAGCCAGGAGATTTGGGAAATCCTAGCCAAGGGGATTTCGTGTAAATGTGAACCCGGATGAACTGGAAAAGCTAACAGTGAGCGCCCTCCCCACCCCTGCCACACACACAAACACTGGTATCATCGCACAAACTAAAACAGAGCTAATTGCAAATAGTATTAGGCTCACTCAGAAATGTGGCTGGGAAGACTGCTTCCTCCAGAGGGGGTGGAACAGAACCGAATTCACAGCTGACATGCCAGGCTGGTGTTGGCTTCTATGAGGGGTCAGGGGCACCCTGGCACCCTCTTCACCAAGTGCTGAACCCCAGGAGTCCTTGAGGGTGATTCATGGAACCTTCTCCCTGGCTTGCCTGGTGATCTACATGTTTCAGGGGGAGTTTAGGAGGTTTGTGGCTGTGATTCCAAGGTGAGGCCTGATGGAACTGTCTGGGGGAGCTTTGTAGCTGGTAGCAGTGGAGGAACCCCAGCATGTGCCAAAGAGGAAAAGGTTGTCTGGGCCTCGACGTGGCCATCACATTTAGAAAGTGGTGACCAACCACTGTCCCTTCTACAGGCCTCTTGCTGCACTAAGCCCTGCCCCCCCCTTCCTTGCAGAGCCATAGTAATATCCCTCCTCCCTAATCTTCCTGGACTTACAGGGGCCCCTCCAAGCCCTTTCCCCAATTTCATTCCCATTCATTTCAAAAGCTCAAATAGGGCCACCAGCCTGAAGCCTCAGGGAAGGCAGGTGCCACAGCAGCCTTTTCAAGATGATGTCCAGGTGTGCCCTCTAGATGGAGAGATGACATCCTGCTGCCCAGCAGGCAGTAACTTCTGGGGTCTTTTCCCTTAGTGGGGATGGTTCCAGAGTACAGTGAATCCTGTGCTGCTTTCTGAGGGTGTGGAGGACGTTTTTGTCTTGGTTTTCTGCCAGTTCCATGAAATTGGCCCTCTTCAAAGTCCATCATTTCTATCATGGCTTCTATCTGTCCTGAGCAAGTCATTCCTGTGTCACTCACATCTCCAGCATCCCTGCCATTCAAAGTCCCATACCGTCTGCACTGTTTGGCCAGCATAATCACTAATAACTGTTCAACACCAAGAGTCTGAACTGACCGTGTGGAGTGTAAAGCAAGGGTGGGGCCTACGCATACACTCTAATGGCTACATTGCTTTTTCTACAAAATTGCCCATAAGCCTTTAACCTTTAATGAAAGCAAAAATTAAAAGGTTAGCATCTGGGGGTGGGGGTGGGGACTGACCTCTTCCTAAGCCAGAACATCTGAGCTGAGTGTTTTAATAAACCTGATTTTTCTCAAGGCCCCAGTCTCTACTGTGTCCCCTCCCTGCTCCTACCTTATCCTTGCAGAGCCTTGGGGAGATGGGAGCAGCCAGGCTGTCCACCTATGTGCTCAGCTCTTCTACAGGTTTTCCTTACAGCTAGTGCATCACCACACAAGGGGACCAGAAAGTTTGGCACTCAAATGCCACTCCTTCCCGACCTTCTGGGATGCCCTCACCCCCATCTAGAGCATGTGCTTGCTTCTAGAGAATTTTAGTTGGTCCTCTGTGCTTGAGGACCACCATGCAAGTAGGCTGAGAACTTTGAGGCTTGTGGGGAGGGGGTGGGAGGGAAAGAAGACAGGGGCTAGGGGCCATTGCATGCACGATTCAGCCTACCGAAAATAAATAAGTGCCTCTGGCCAGACTGGTGACAAACGTCAGCGCTCCACGTTCTCGTGCCAGGAAGTGGCTGCTCACCCCCGCTCTCTGGAGTCCTTTGGAGCTTTCTGACATCACCAGTGACTTGGTCTGCAAGAGCCCCCCTTGCAGAAGGATCGTTTTCTCTCTAAGCTCTTTGTTGTCCACGCGTATAAGGTGAGCACTGTGCAAATGGCTATGTGGAAAGTAGCATTCCTGCACTACAAAAAAACTTTTAAGCTCTGGGGACCTTTGAGTTTTGCTTATCCTTTTCTTTTTACATCTCTGATAGGTTAGTGTGCTTCTGGGTTTTGTTTTATCTTGGCTTTAAGGTTTAGGGTGGGTTGAGTCTTCTCAAATGGGTGCAGAAGCAGGAGTGAAGGAGGAAGGGCCACATCCGCTGTTATTCTAATGAACTCAAGTTCACCTGAAGAGGACCATGAAGCAGCTTCTCCCAGAGACTGGCAGCCAGCTTCCCCTACATATCAAGGTTGAAATACAAAATCCAGTGGCACCTCGGTTTAACATTTGTTGATAGACCCAAGACTTGATTGGGGAAACAGCCTAGGATATCTGTGAATAACCCCAAGTTGTAAGCACAAACTTTAGCATGTCTGCTTAGTGATATCATGTTGTGACCATAACAGCCACTCTTGTCCCCTCTCCTAAGAGGAAACTGGTGCAATGTCCTGGAGTCCTTTACTGGAGACGGAGGGAGAGGGGCCTGGGGAAGGAGTTCCAGGGTCTCCCCTGTTTCCAGGGTTAGATAAGGTTGTTGGAGGCTGGAAGTCCAGAATTCCCCCTCAGCCACATAGATGGGGTCAAGGCCAACAAACATGTGCAGACTGGGGTGGGAGGGGTGGTCTTCTGGGTTGGCCAAGGCTGAGTTGAAGACCTCAGGCCAAACCATAAAGTAGAAGGGGGCCCTGTAGCTTTTACATACTTAAGGATGCAGTGACCGTACCAGCTGATGAGAGCCCTCGGTAGGTGCTTTTCATTCATTAAGAGCTAAGGCTCGTTTTTTGATAGATAATATATATTTATTAAATGTATTAATGTGTATTTTATAATGTACCCTCATTTCTCCCCTGGCTGACTTGCAAACTTATAAACAAAAACTGTTCCAGAATTTTCAGGACAATCAGTATGTACAGGACTGTATAAATATCACACATTGGAAAGGTTGTTAAGCAATGGGCAGATAGGTTTTATTTTCCCAAAATGCTGTTCTTAACATGAAAATAAAGGCTTTACTATTTACCTAAGACTTGTGGTAGCTTGTCAAAGCAGCCCAATCCTAAGGCACTATGGGGGGACTCTGCAGTGGGAGAATCCTGGTGAAGGCAGGTCACAGAACAGACGAGCGTTGTTAAAAGGATGCTTCTCTAATACTGTGGGGCTTTGAAAGTGGAAATCTTTTTCCAGGACTGCCTGGGGTTCAGTGTCTGTTGTGCTGTGGATATAGCTTAGTGGTAGAGCTTCGCCTAGCAGGAGGGAAGCCCCATTTGCTCACTCAACACCACCAAAAAACAAACAGAAAACAGAGATTTGAGTCTTAATCTGAAATATGGATCTTTGCAGAATAGCAGTTGACTTACAAGGATGCTCCTGAATGGTGGAGAAATATCTGGATTTTCATTTCAGTCATTTCAGGTAGAAAGCTAGGAAAGACTGGAACTTTTCCAAACCAGGCTGAATCTTGTCTGCCACAAATCCTACCTTGAAAAGATTCTGCTTCTACCATTCTAACTCTTGTTAGAGAAACCACAATAGAAAAATGGAGTTTGGGCATTATCCTTCCACATGGTGACTGATGGTGGTTATGGATGGGGGTGGCACTGGGGCTGTGGGTGCCTCTTCATCCTCCATTTTACATTTCACTGTGGAGAGATGTAAGAGAGAGAGAGAGAGAGAGAGAGAGAGAGAGAGAGAGAGAGAGTTAGGGTCATTTTACACAGCTAGACAGACCTATCATTTGGAAACCGGAAACAAATCCCAGTGAGCCTCTGTCCTGGCCCTACTGACACCAGGAGGAACAGGCCATTCATTGTGCTCCAGAACCGCGCCTGAAGGCTCTAAGCCAACTCTCCCTGAGTTCACAGTGTCTTGGAATTCAGTTCAGAAACAGGTGGATGGTGTGCTTCTTGGGTTGGAGTATTGAAGGAAGTTTTACTAAAGATGATGACAGATTCAACCCAAGCTGTTGCCCAGCACCATTTCCCTCAAGGAAAAGTTTAGCTGGACCCAGAACACAGCACTCTATAAGGGATGCTGGCCCCAAATTCATATGGAAGCCCAGCCCCAGGGTGAGGGAGGATCTTTTTAGAAAGACCTCTTTCTAAAAGTATATTATTATTATTATTATTTGGTGCTGGGGATGGAACCCAGACCCTCATGCATACTTAGGTAAGCACTCTGTCACTAAGCCATACCCCCCGTGCAAAGACTTGATTTTCATGTATGTGTAGGGGTGTGTGTGCACACGTGTGTCTACGTATGGAAGCCAGACGTCAATCTCGGGTATCATTCCTCCAGAGCCATCCACCTTGCTTTTTGGAACAGGTCTCTCATTGACCTGGAACTCACTGAGTAGGCTAGGGTGACTGGCCAGGGAGCCTGAGATCCTCTGGGACTACAAGCACATGCCACCTTGCCCTGCTTTTTTACATGGGTTCTGGGTTTGAACCAGGTCTTCATGGTGGCATTGAAAGCACTTTACCAGCTGGACCATCTTCCCAGCCCCAACCTTCAATTTTTTAACACATCTTCCCCTCTAGTGGTAGAATGGCTCCTATGTGAATGCCTGAAAGGTTATTTCAGAACATGTGCCTGCCCTGATTATTTGTGGAGAGCATCATGGTTCTAGAAAGAACCAGAGGTTTCAGCCAATCCCCCTGTTCCTGACAAGAGACAAAGGGTGTCTGACAGTCACACTGAGCCTGGAGGTGAGGGCTAAACTGGTTACTAGGACAGGCTACTTCCTTGTGGAAGCAGGGTGAATGCTTTCCTAGAGTTCAAAGTCATCTTCACTCCAAGACCAATTCCAGCTCTCCAGCTCCTGTGTGGACTTGCTGGGGCAGGATTCCACCTGGCTCCTCTCCTTCCTGCCCCCATGTTGGCCTAGTGTGGAAAATTCCCCCAGGTGCCAATTAGAAGGGCAGTCTAGATTCTAAGGGCCCAGGATCCCTACACTTTCTATATCACTGTTGGAAGGTGTACTGTGCTGATTTGGCTTTGTGCACTATTAATAATTATACAGGCAGAACATGCCTAATCTCAAAATCTGAAATCCAGAATAAGCCAAAATCCAGAACTTTCTGAGCACTGACCTGATGTCACCAGTAGAAAATCCCACACTACTTAACTCTGTGAAGTGCACAGAATTTTTCTTTTCAGCTGTATAAAATTATCTTCACACTATGTGTGTAAAGTGAATAGGAAGCTTAAATAACTGTAGTCTTCGGCCTTGGGTCCCATATCACAATTTCAAATGTAAGTATTCCAAATCACGAGTCTAGTCTCTTTTGTTTAACGGATACTCAACTTATAGCCACACAAACCAAAACACTTTTAAATCTGGGAGCTTATAATGAAAAGGAAAGATTTTAATGTACAGATGGAACCAGTAAAATGGGTCAGAGCTTGCTGCCAAGCCTGATGACCTGAGTTCGATCCCCAGGACCCACATGGTGGAAGGAGAGAACCAACTCCCACAGGTTGTCCTTTGACTTTGACATACACACATGCATATGGACAGACAATAAATTAATTTTTTTTAAACTACCTTTTTTGGAAGCGCTACATGAAGATGCTACATGTATATAGGGTTCTAGAGCCTACTAGTGATGACACTGGTCCCTCAAAGCTAGGGTGCGCTGCATCTTGCTCAGTATCCTCACTGCATCCCCTGGTCCATGAAGGCCTGGGTTAAGCACTGAGTGACAGGAGACTGGCAGGGCATCTAACAAGCTGAAAGCCCATTTCAAGCCACTGGCCTGATGACACACGTGTCTGGAAGGGGTGTGACAATCCCACATAGTGGGGCTTCTCTGGATCATCCTCAGGATACACAAGGTGAACTTGGCAGTCAAGTGAAACTCAACATGCGATGGTTCTCAAGAGTGGTGAGAGGGATACCTGGTGGGGAGGGCTGTTAGAATGACAAATCCAAGGCTTGTAATGGTTGGTTCTAATTGTCAATTTGACATAATCTAGACACAGTTTCACCTGGGGAGGGGGTCTCAATGAGGGATTGTCTAGATCAGGTTGGTTCATGGGCATGGCTCTGAAGGTTAATTGGGTTAACTGAAGTGGGAGGACACACCCTGAATGTGGACAATACCATGTCTGGACTGGGCCCTGGACTGAAAGAAAGGAGAGAACACGCTGAGTACTAGCATACAAGCCTTAGTTCCTTGCTCTCTGCTCTTGACTGTGGAGGTGATGTGACCAGCTGTCTCAAGCTCCTCCCACTGTGACTTCTCTGAAGTGATGGACTGTGGAGCTGTGAGCTAAAATAAACCCTTTCTCTCCTAAGTTGCCTTTGTTGGGGTATTTTATTACAGCAACAGGAAATGAAACTAAGGCAAGGCCTCACTCCAGATACACAGACTCAGCCAAGAGTGGCACCCAGTGACCTGTATTTTAACAGGCTCTCCAGGTGACTCATGGATGCCAGCTAGACTTTTGAGACCCACAGACAGCAGGTTCTCTAACCTGACTGCATAAACAACATGGTCATTTTCTAAATAATGGTCATTTTCTAAAGTCTATTTATGCCAGGGCCTCATCCAAGAAGTCATGCTGTCTGGGGCCCAGGCATGAGTGTTCATCTGCTCTGTGTGTCGCTAATGTTCAGCCAGGGTTGAGAGACAGCCTGCGACTGGAATCCCTGTAAAGAATGACTATAAGACACTCAGAGTCTAGAATCCCCTCAGCTTCATGCATCATTCATGTTGCCTTTGGGTCTACAAACTGGATTGTTTTAAAGATGTTATCTGATCTATAACTGGCAGGTAGGTGCTGGGGTCTATTTGGTGGAGGGAAGCCTTAGCTTCTGGGAAGAATTCCCAGCCTTTGGGTTTTCTTACTTCTCTTCCACTATGCCTGAAGACTCACCTGGTTCATATCGTGACTTCTAGGCAGATTGTGACTAGGCAGACCCTGTCACAAAAAACAGTCGACAAAAAGCCAAAAAGAAAAAAGGCCCTTTTTTCAGAGTATCAGACACCTTGAGGCACAAGGGGACAGGACTGAACTAGAGATAATCCTTAAGCAGAGAGCCTAGTGCAGTTTCTAGAGTTGAGAGGCTAGAAGTAAAGGGAGAATGAATGGCCTCATAGTACAGAGCTCAGAACTGTCCCCATTCTTGGCTCCGAGTCTCTGGAAAGGCAACCACATTAGAAAACAACACAGTCTCACAATGAGCACAGGTGGCTCTGTGCCTGTGTTCCCTGCTGAAGGCTCTGCAATGCATGTACCATGAGATGAGAATTAAGATGCTCATGCATGGTGCTGGGGAGATGGCTGAGTGGTTAAGTGCTCGCTGCACAAGTGTGATGGCCAGAGGACCAGAGTTTGGATCTCCTACACTCAGGTAAAAACCAGGTGGCCATAGTGGCCAAGACAGGGGATCACCAGTGCAAATTGGCTAGGCCAGACCTGTCAAATCAATGAGCTCCAGCTTCAGTGAAAGACTCTACCTCAATATATAAAGTGGAGAGTGATCAAAGAAGACACCCAATGTCAACCTCAGGCTTTTATATGCACAAGCACAAGTGTGCACAAGTACCTAGACATACACATGCATCTATAAACATGCAAATACAGTCATGCACTACACACACATACACACACACACACACACACACACACACACACACAAAATTAAATTAGATGCTCAAGGGAGCCTAAGACAGGAAACCACCGCAGCCCATGAGAGAAACAGACTGTGGTCTCTGAGCAGTACTTCTGCAGCAGTGGACTATCTGCAGCAGCTTGGACCGTCAGACCATCCATATTGAAGCAAAGCTGCACAGTGAGCTCAGAATAATCCACAGTGTTTTCTGGTTTCATCAAACAGGAAGCACACAGAAGTGAGAAGAACTTGAAGGAAACAGAAAGTGAGCCACAAGAGGCAGGCATGTGGCTTCATGGTCTGGGGAAGAGATTCCAAACTACTGACCACAGACCCAGGTGTGGCAGTATATGCCTGTACCTGTAATCCCTGCAAGACTGAAGTAGAAAGATCGTGAGTTCAAGGTCAGCCTGTCTCAGAAAGAAAGAACAGATACTGGCAGTATTCTACTCTATGGTTGGTGGGGAAATGGATGTTTGCCTTATAGTTTATGTGTTTAATAGTCACTTGTTATATTTATCTTACCTTCCCCTAGAGGTAAAAAGAAACAAAGACTGACTCTTACACTACACCAAGTGCCAAAATCATCAATAAAGGACTGGGAAAGTTACTCTCAATGGCTTGAGCTAATCCTCCCTGGTCCTGCACAAATGAGGAGATAATAAATTCTTCTTTTTTTTTTGGCTTTTTGAGACAGGGTCTCCCTGTAGCCCCAGCTGTCTTGGAACTCACTATGTAGACCAGGCTGGCCTTGAACTCACAGAGATCCGCCTGCCTCTGCCTCCCGAGTGCTGGGATCAAAGGTGTGCGCCACCACATCCAGCCCTGACAATGCTTAAATTCTTACTGACCACACAAACCTATTGGGGATGCCTAGTCCCCATCTGAAAAGCAGCGATGGCTGCTGAGGATGTGCAGGAGGGTGGCCCAGGCTGAGGACCACTGATACCTGGGTTTTATTTCTGTATCTTTTGATCATGGATCAAAAGAGAACTACGTGCAAGGACTACTTTGCTAAAAATT